ATTTTTTCATGTTTTATGATGTTGATATAGTTCACACATGGAAAAAGGCTAAAGTGTACACAAACATGAATAAAAGGAAATGAATAATGTAGAAATTGTAAAAATCATTGGACTAATTCTAAATGGTGCCTATAAATCTAAAAATGAAAACGTTTTTCAGTTATGAAGCAAAGATGATCCTCCTACTGTCTTTAGCACCCCCATCCTGAGCATGGCTACAAACACAGATCCTTTTTCCTCACATAGTTTGCCACTTATTGGGTTTCAACATGCAGGGCAAATTTCACAGTACTGAATCACGTTGAAGATAGGGACCTGCATTTCGCAGAATTTAGCAGAAAGATTCACAAAGTGAATGTGTATGCTTAACATAAAAGGGAATACTTTCAATTCTAGAAATAAAAGCAATAAAAAGGTCAATGGATCTAAACCAAGTTTTTACAGTTATCAAAAAGCAGAAGACTCAAAAGCACATTCATGATAGATATAATTAACTTTATGGAAAATGTTATCAGACAATATGAATAAAGTGTTTATACCTAACATAATGTCATACACACAGTAATATTTAGAATCCTAATTGGTAAAAACAGTACAAAAAAGGTATCAGTATTTTCAAAGGTTGATGACTTTCCACTTTTTCTTTCTCTCTTAACATCTAATTTGAACCCGATATTGTTAGATCATGTCCATGCTGGATTTAAAATAAATCAATTTTTGGTCGGAGACAGTGGCTCACACCTGTAATCCCAGCACTTTGGGAAGCCGAGGCGGGCAGATCACTTGAGGTCAGGAGTTCGAGACCAGCCTGGCCAACATGGCAAAACCCCATGTCTAATAAAAATACAAAATTCTTAGCCGGATGTGGTGGCAGGTGTCTGTAATCCCAGCTATTCAAGAGATTGAGAATCACTTGAACCCGGAAGGTGGAGGTTCCAGTGAGCCAAGATTGTGCCACCATACTCCAGCCTGGGTCACAGAACGAGAATCCGTCTCAAAAAAAAAAAAAAAAAAAATTACTTTTCAGACTGATGCTAAATCCTTTTAAAGCTACTCTATATTTGTTATATCACTATATTTCTAATTCCTCTGTTTTCTGATTAGTGCAAAGTAATTAAAACTTCATACTCTCACTGTCTTAAAAAGTTTTTTCAAGTGGAAGATCTTAAGTGAGTCAACATTAAACTTAATTACATAAATAGGATTTTTAAAGCAAGATTTCCAAAGCTTAGAAGACTGAGAATGGCAGCTGGGTGAGGTGGCTCACGCGTGTAATCCCAGTACTTTGGGAGGCCAAGGCAGGTGGATCACCTGAGGTCAGGAGTTTGAGACCAGTCTGGCCAACATGGTGAAACCCCATCTCTACTAAAAATATAAAAATTAGCTGGGCATGAGGGCAGGCACCTGTAAGCCCAGCTAGGCAGGCTAAGGAAAGGAGAATTGCTTGAACCCAGAAGGCGAAGGCTGCAGTGAGCCAAGATCGTGCCACTGCACTCCAGCCTGGGCGACAGAGCAAGGCTTAGTCTCAAAAAGAAAAAAAACGAAGAGTGAGAATGGACTCATCATAAATAATCTATTATGGAGTCTCCTAATTTCAGCATTCAAGTAAAACATTTGAGTACAGTCATCCCTTTGTACCTGTGGGGAATTGGTTCTAGGACACCTAAATCACGGATACAAAGTTTCTGATACAAAACAGCATAGTACTCTATTTGTATATAACCTATGCACATCCTCTTATATGCTTTAAAATTCATTTTTGGATTACTTATAATAATACAATATAAATATGATACAAATAGTTTTACTATATTGTTTAGGAAATAACTAAAAGAAAAATGTCTACACATGTTCAATATAAATGCAACTTCTTTTTTTTTCTCTTTTGAGACAGAGTCTTGCTCTGTTGCCTAGGCTGGAGTACAGTGGCATGACTCACTGCAACCTATGCCTCCAAGGTTCAAGTGATTCTCCTGCCTCAGCCTCCCCAGTAGACGGGATTACAGGCGCACACTACCATGCCCAGTTAATTTTTGTATTTTTCAATTTTTCGTAGAGATGGCATTTAGCCATGTTGGCCAGGCTGGTCTCAAACTCCTGACCTCAGGTGACCCGCCTGTCTTGGCCTCCTAAAGTGCTAGGATTACAGGCATGAGCCACTGTGCCTGGCCTAGATGCAACTTTTTTCCAAATTATTTCAATGTGTGGTTGGTTGAATCTATAGATGCTGGACCCACAGATATGGAGGGATGGCTGAACTATCTTGTATACTCAAGAAATTCAGCAGTATGCACTGACAGAATTTATAATCTATTGGGACAGGTGGTTAGAAGGAGCTTAACATAAACCCATAAAAAATACATAAAGTGAAAGGACAGCAGAGTGGTAAAGGCTCTCGAACTAGCTGACTTGAATTTGAATACTGGCTTCACCACCTACTCACTATATGACACTAATTTTTACCTTCTTCTAGAGCAGGCGTCGCCAAAACTACAGCCTGTGGGCCGCATGCGGCCCCCTGAGGCCATTTATCTGCCCCCCCCCCCCGCCCCCCCATGGTACTTCAGGAAGGAGCACCTCTTTCATTGGTGGTCAGTGAGAGGAGCACAGTATGTGGCGGCCCTCCAACGGTCTGAGGGACAGTGAACTGGCCCCCTGTGTAAAAAGTTTGGGGACGCCTGTTCTAGACTCTAGACCTCATTTATAAAATGGGAATAATACCTACTTTGCAAGTCTCTTGTAAAAATAAGTCCAAAGCAGCCAGGCGTGGTAGCTCATGCCTATAATCCCAGCACTTTGGGAGGCCAAGATGGGCAGATCGTCTGAGGTCAGGAGTTTGGGACCAGCCTGGCCAACATGGTGAAACCACGTCTCTACTAAAAATACAAAAATTAGCTGGGCATGGTGGCAGGAGCCTGTAATCCCAGCTACTGGGGAGGCTGAGGCAGGAGAATCGCTTAAATCTGGGAGGTGGAGGTTGCAATGAGCCGAGATCCCACCATTGCATTCCAGCCTGGGCGACAAGAGCGAGACTTCATCTCAAAAAAAAAAAAAAGTCCAAAGCAACTTACAACGCCTGGAGCATCCAAGGTACTCAATAAATGTTGCCATTACTATTGTTATCGTTATAATTGTTATTATTATCATTTAGAACTAGAAGAGATTATTTAATGCAGTTCTCCCATTTCACAGATAAGGTCACCAAAGTATCACACACAAAACGGAATATGAAATGTCAAAATGAGTGCAACAAACAGGGTATATGACAAGTTCGTGAGCAATAAATCACATAGATATTCAGGCAAGGGTTTCACAGGTGGACACTGAATTATTACATGAACATTATTATAAAATTGAAAATTAAAAAAGCACAATTGCTTCTTGTTACTGAAATAAGAGAACTAGATTAATAATCTCTTCCACTTCTAAAATGACAATAACAATAACAACTGCAAAAATAACATTTATGGTTTTTTATACGTATGGTTCACAAACTACATACTAATAAGCACACAGTTTATATGGCCAGTATAAAAATAAGATGAACCTGTCAAAGAGATTAAAATCCAGCTATTTAATTAAAATGGCAATATATTATTTACCAAGCACTTGAGGCAGAAAAAAAAACCTCCCAAAGTCAACAGGTAAGCATCAACGAAAGATCACAACTTGAAAACTTTCTTCGCTTGGCAAGATTTAGGGACGAATTCAAGACAACATTCAGGCTTTTCACTAATTAGCACTTCACTAAACACACCTTAACTGTAGTTAATTCAGAACGAATACATATCTTAACTTCTAAACTTGAAACGAGTCAGTTGGTAGCCTTATGTGACAGGAAGGCCATCATTATATTAATCATCTCCACAAAAACTGTGTTCATTTTTTTGTTATTTCAACAGTATCAGTGCATGTCTTGCTGCTTTTCTCAAACACTTTAAGTCAGCAGCAATAAAAACATACTTGTGACCAGTGAAACAAAATCATTTTCCCACTAAAATTCTATGCTAATTTTTAAACCCTCTCCCCTGCCTTTCCCATAAAATTTTTATCAACTTTCGGTTACCATTTATTTTCTCGAGAATTTTTCGTTCAGTCACTAAGTTTATAGAATCGAAGTTTACATGCTTTTTCTTTTGACAGACACAGAGCTGTATCTCCAGGAAAATTAAGTTTCAACATGTAACACGAGATAGCAGATTTCTGCTTTACTGAAAACAGGAAATGTAATCAATTCACCAACAATTATTCAATTAGGACAATATTGAAAGTAAGTTAACAGGCATAGCAGCACACTTTGTTTTGAAGATATTCAAGGTCAAAAATCAGTGTATCTGCAAGACTTTTGCTTATTTTTTGGAGGGAGTTGAAAACCTAACACTAATAGAAAAAGGATCAAGGCTTACAGGAAGGACAAGCGATAAAACAAACGTCTTCAATGTGAAAGTTAATTCTCTCTCTCTCTCTCTCTATCTCTCTCTCGTTTCCTAGGTCTGCTTTGAAGTTTTTCAAGACAGGAACAGCTCTGGATGACCGCAGATAAACAGGCCATAAACAAGGATTCTCTCTATACAGGGAGTAGAGGTTCCCATGAGGTGAATTCGGCCAAACTGAAAAGAATGGAGAAAAGAGACAACATCCAGACCTAAGCCTGCCAGAGACACCCGACAGCAGGCGAAGAGTATGAAGGAGTCTGGGCTCCTCCCTCGCGGCCCAGGCCTCCAGTGGCAACTCAGCTGGGCAACGTGACTCAGGAAAGCACTGGGCTGGCGGCGGCCTAGCACGGCTGACTCCCCGGACCTCCCAGGCCTGCTTTCTGGGTCTTACCTGACAGCGGGCGGGAGCCGGATGCCGCGATCTGGACCCTTGTCTTGCCTCTGCGGTGACGCGAAGACAGAGGCAACAGCAGCAGCGGCGCAGACCCAACCCGGCTCTGACTCCGCGAACCGGCGATGAATCAGCCCGATTCCATTCAAAAGAGTTGCCCGGGCCTCCGCCGCGAAGTACTTCCGGGTTCACTGGTCTGCTTCGGCTTCCGTTCCCCGACGGCCAATTGGAGACGACTGGGAGTCAGGCGGGTGTCCAGAAGGAGCGCTCCGAACAGACGGTGCGAGCCGCCGGGCGTCTCCTGTCCTTGCTAGACTGTGAGGTGGGAGTTAGAGCCCGGGCCTCTCGCGCCCCGCGACGCCTCCTTTTTCTCCCTCCACCTCTGAACTCTCCGGCCACCGCGGAGATGTGGGACGGCGGCACACCCAGCCCGGGAGGCGACTGGCTAGGAAATGGAACTGTTAGTATTGCGAAGCCCAGATCCCCTTTCGTTTTGGTGTTCACTACTATTACGGCCCTCCTCAAAAACTAAAAGGTTCGTTTGAACTAGATTTAACTTGGTTATCTGAGAAGAAAATTTTTAAAAACAGTGGGGATGGTGTGATTAGACGGGGTTGGTAAGACGCTCTTTTCCCTAAGCCCGCTTTATCCCCACCTCTTGTCATTGCGTTCAAAGGATTGGATTTCAAGTGAAACGAGTGTTTCCCAAATGTACAAACTACCTATTTTAAGCCGAATTTAGCTTACGGTGTTTAAAGAATCGTTTATTCATATTTCTCCATGTAATTATCAGCAGTCACGTTTTACTCATGATCTACTTTGTGTTAGGTTTTCAAAAAGCAAAATTGCACAGGATATGACTTGGCAAGTTGATGTCACATTCTAGGTCTAGGTACAGTCTGTTTAAGGCAGCTTGTTTGCCACATTCCTCTCACGTACTCAAATGTATTCCAAATAACAACCTTATTGAAAGGATTCCTAAATCAAGAATGGCGAGAATGGACAGAGGGTGAGGAGAGATTACAGCTCTGGGATCCAAACTGTGGTTTGACTAGCACAATTGCATTGGATTTTTCCTTTAAGATATTCATATCTCTAAAAGCACGAAAATTATTTTACTCATAAGTAATATTTGCATCCACATCTTTATGCTTCCCCCCCAAAACCTGTGCCTCTCTATTCACTTTCTTTTTGGGGGGAGGAGGAGGGGTAAATAACCCCATCCTCCAAATAATTTTCCTAATCAGAAACTTAAGAGTATAAACACTCGCCTCTTTTTCACCTCTCCCCACTGGCCTCCCAATTAACCACTATAGAAACTATGAAATGTATAATCTCCATAACAGTTTTTCCAGTGCACCACTTCCCTTTCTAAATACTCCCACTTTGGCCTTAACTCAGACCTTCGTCACTTATTTTTAATTTTATATTTCGTGTGTATTTTTGAATTAAGTCTTGCTTTGTCACCGAGGCTGGAGTGTGGTAGCACCGTGTCAGTTCACTGCAGCCTCCTCCTCCCCATGCTCAAGCAGCCCTCCCACTTTAGCCTCCCAAGTAGCTAGGACTACAGGCGCTTGCCACCATGCCCAGCTAATTTTTATTTATTTATTTATTTATTTATTTATTTATTTAATAGAGACAGGATTTCACCATGTTCCCCAGGCTACTTTTTAAAAATGTTCTTTGGTCTTTCTGCCTTCAGTCTGCTTCCTTTCAACCCATTCTCCATCTCATTGGCAAAACAGTTTTGTACTGTTCATAGTCATGCTCCTTCTTTACATAAAATTCCACTAGTGGCTCCCCATAACATTCATTATAAAGGTAAAAAAAAAAACCCTTGAACTTTTCAGAGCACCTTTTGCTCCAGCCATAATAAAATGTTTAGCTGGGGAATAAGACGTTCATAGGGCTTTGAAAAACTCTTAACATATTCCTGAGACTGTAGAAGGTGCTTAGGGTGTGCACATACCTAGGGTCATGTGAACACTCAAGAAAAGCCTGAGGAGGCCCTGAGCTGTCTGGCTGACCTTGAGGCACTACAGAAGCATCTGAGCTCTAAACTCTCACTGACCTTGAGGCACTACAGAAGCAAGAAGTGAAGGTTAAGGCAGAATTATTTGGTTGGTTGGTGCCAGAGTAATTGTGGTTTTGTTATTTCAGTGCAATTACCTAATATAAAGTGTTTGGCTGATTGTTGAAGGCATCTCTCAACATAGATACTAAACCCCTTGGGAAAGACTGGGAGATTTTTTTTGGTTGAAGGTGTTTAAGGAAACCTGTCTCTCTAATCAGTAGCTGACCACTAAGCTAACCGAGCAGAAACCTGAGTGGTCACACAAAATAAAAATTGCAGACTTTAAAGAAAGAGTTCGTAAGCTAGGTGCAATGGCACACATGTGTAGTCCCAGCTACTCAGGCAACTAAGGCCAGAGGATCCCTTGAGTCACCAACTCAGACCTTGTCTCTAAAAAAAAAGAAAATAGAATGAGTTCAGAAAAGTCCCTAAACCAACAACTACTACAACAAACAAGTAACAATGACTCTTGGGGAGCGGGTAGAATCTGATTTCCGGTTACACATTATAGTGTTTAAAATGTTCAGTTTTCAAAATAGTTATGAAACATGAAAAGAAACAAGAATATATGGCCCATACACAGGATAACAATCAATAGAACCTAACCCTGAGGAAGCCTACATGCTGGACTTAGTAAATAAAAAGGCTTTAAATCAGATATTTTCAATATATTAAAAGGTAAGGGAAACCACGTCTAAAGAACTAGAGGAAAATATGAGATGTTTCATCAAATAGATGATAAAGATCAATTATATTTTAAAACCCAAATAATTCTGGAGTTAAAAGTATAATATGCCATGCTGGTGCGGTGGCTCATGCCTGTAATCCCAGCACTTTGGGAGGCCGAGGCAGGTGGATCACCTGAGGTCGGGAGTTTAAGACCAGCCTGACCAACATGGATAAACCCCGTCTCTACTAAAAATACGAAATTAGCTGGGCATGGTGGTGCATGCCTATAATCCCAGCCACTTGGGAGGCTGAGGCAGGAGAATCGCTTCAACCTGGGAGGCGGAGGCTGCAGTGAGCCAAGATTTGCACTCCAGCCTGGGCAACAAGAGCAAAACTGCATCTCAAAACAAAGTATAATATGCCATAACAGAAACAAAAATTTTTTAAATTTTTTAAAATAAAAATAGCAAAAAAAATATAATAAAGTGAAAAGTTCACTAGAGGGGCTCAATCCCAGATTTGAGCAGGGAGAAAAAAAAAAAGCAAACTTCAATACCTGTATAGGTCAGTTGAAGTTTTCTAGTCTGGGGAACAGATTGAAAAGAGAAAGACGAAACATGAACAAAGCCTCAGAGACCTGTGGGACACAAGCATACCAATATGTGCATATGTGAGTTTCAAAGGTGGGGGGAAGAAAAGGGCAGACATAATACTTGAATAAAGAATGGCAGGGTATGGTGGCTCATGCCTGTAATCCCAGCACTTTGGGAAGACAAGGCAGGTGGGTCACCTGAGGTCAAGGGTTTGAGACTAGCCTGGCCAACGTGGTGAAACCCTGTCTCTACTAAAAATACAAAAATTAGCCGGGTGTGTTAATGTGTGCCTATAATCCCAGCTACTCGCGAGGAGGGAGGAGAATCACTTGAACCTGGGAGGCAGAGGTTGCAGTGAGCTGAGATGATGCCATTGCACTCCAGCCTGGGCAACAGAGGAAGATGCATCTCAAAAAAAAAAAAAAAAAAAAAAGAGAGAGAGACCAAAAACTCCTTAAATTTAATGAGAAATGCTTATCTACACATCCAAGAAGCTCAACAAATGCCAGGTAACATAAACAAATTTATACCTCAACACATTTTAATTAACCAAAGTCAAAAGCAAAGGGAAACTCTTGAAAGTGGCAGGAGAGAAGCCACTCATCACATAATCCTCCATAAGATTTACAGTTGATGCCATAAAAGTCAAAAAGCAGTGGTATGACATATTCAAAGTGCTGAAAGAAAAAGATCAGCAAGTAAGAATTTTACCTTTAGCAAAACTATCCTTCAAAAGTGAAGAAGGTATTAATACTTTCCCAAAATGTATGTATATACAAAGACAGAATTTGTTGTTAGGACATTTTCCTCACAAGAAATACTAAATGGAGTCCTTCAGAATTAAATTGACACTAGACGGTAATTCAAGTCCACATGAAGGACTAACAATACATGTAAAAGTAACTACATAAGTAAAGATAAAAGTCTAAATTTTTTTTATTCGTAACTCTTCCTTTTTGATTTAAAAAACAACTGCATAAAGCAATATTTATAAGTCTTTATGGGCTTATTGTAAGATACTAATATGACAGTAACAGAAGGGAGAGGAAGGAGGGAAAGAATAATGGAGGAATGAAGCCATATAGTAGCAAGTTTTTGTGTTCTATTGAAATAGTTATTAATCCAAACTAGATTGTTATAACTTGTTAATTATAATCCTGAGAACAACTGCTAAGAAAATGCTTTTAAAATATATGAATAAAGGACAAGGAAATTAAAATGGCACACTAGAAAATATATACCACACAACAAAGGGCTGCAGTATTTAAGAAATGGAGGAATAAAAAAGACACAGGACATAAAACAAATAGCAAAATGGCAAACGTAAATCCTACCTTATCAGTGTCAACAATCCACTTCAAAGGATTTTCCTTGAAAAAGAAAAAGTTTGGGCATAGTGGCTCACACCTCAAATCACAGCACTTTGGGAGGCCAAGGCTGGAGGATTGCTTGAGTCCAAGAGTTCATGATGAGCGTGGGCAACATTACAAAACTCTATGTCTGCTAAAAAATACAACAAATTAGCTGGATATGGTGGCACCTGCCTGTAGTCCCAGCTGCTCAGGCAGCTGAGGTAGGAGGATCACTTGAGCCCAGGAGGTAAAGTCTGCAGTGAGCCCTGATCACGTCATTGCACTCCCAGCCTTGGTGACACAGTGAAATCCTGTCTCGAGAAATTAAAAAAAAAAAAAAAAAAAGATACTTTATTCCACTGAATTGTTTCCTAACCAAAGCAATGCAGTCTTTTGTACCAAACAAAGATGTGGCCCAAGAAAACAGAAAGATTGTCTTCTTTAGAGAAAGTTCCTTCCTAGTCTCCCTCTCTAGTCTGCTATGCAAATGAGGAATGACAGCTTGTTTAGTTTTCATTGGTTGATGCATGTCACAGTCTTATCAGTTAGGTCCCTGTGGTGAAATGAGACTTTCTAGCAGTTGTTGATTGAGTCAATGTAAACAGGAACAGATAGCTAAGTCTATAAGCTTGTACTTTGTCTAAGAATGCAGAGTATGTATGTGTGTGACCTCTAGTCAGCAAATAGCTGCTTGGCTCCATTTTGAGTTTAGGACCAGTTAGTCACTCAGAATCCATCTTGAAGAATTAGCTTTTTCAGGATTCACATCAGTCAATATATTGAATATAAATGGAATAGAAACTCCAATTAAGAGGCAGAGATTGGCAAAATAAGCTAAAAAAAAAAAATTCTAACTATATCTGTCCACAGAGTTACACTTTAGATTCAATGACACAGGTTGAAAGTAAATAGATTAAAAATCATATCATCTGCATAGTAATTAAAATACTACAACCAGTGCCGGGCGCGGTGGCTCGAGCCTGTAATCCCAGCACTTTGGGAGGCCGAGGCGGGTGGATCACGAGGTCGAGAGATCGAGACCATCCTGGTCAACATGGTGAAACCCCGTCTCTACTAAAAATACAAAAAATTAGCTGGGCATGGTGGCGCGTGCCTGTAATCCCAGCTACTCAGGAGGCTGAGGCAGGAGAATTGCCTGAACCCAGGAGGCGGAGGTTGCGGTGAGCCGAGATCGCGCTATTGCACTCCAGCCTGGGTAACAAGAGCGAAACTCCGTCTCAAAAAAAAAAAAAAAAAATACCACAACCACTTTTAGAAATTGTTCTGGCATTTAAAAAATAAATTTAAAAATTACCATTTGACCTAGAAACTCCACTTTATATTTACCAAAAACAAATACAAGCATATCTCCATACCAAGACTTAACCACAACAGTTCATAGCAACTTTATTAATAAAAGCCATAAACTAGACACAATCTAAATATTTGCCAACTGGTGAATAAATAATATCTGGTATGCCTTTACAACACAATGTTAGTAAGAAAAAGGAAACTACTATATATATGCAAGAAAATGGATGAATTTCAAAAACATCACACTGAGGAAAAGTAAGAAACAAAAGAGTGCATACTATACAAATCAAATCAAATACACAGTGACAGAAAGCAGATCACTTGTTGTCTTTGTTGTTCATAGTACAGTTAGGTGGGAGGATTAACTACACAGTTATCCTATATTCTATATTTTTATCTTGGTGATAGTTTGTGAAAACTAATCAAATTGTACACTAAAAATGGGTACATTTATGATAGATTATGCCTCCATAAAGTTGATTGAAAATAAAAAGTCAAATTTGTTATTTCCCCCCATTCTTTTAGCCATACCAAAGTATTTGTTATTAAATCATGCTGTCATATGCCTCACAATCTTCAGACCTATAGTTTCTACAGTCTGAATGTCTTTTCTCTCATTTCCTGTCCCTATACTCTATCCCACATTTTGGAGTGGGTGTTGATCAGTTAATACCCTCCCATATAATTTTACCCTGTAGTCCTACTCTGTAATTCTTGATTTACTTGTCTGCCTTACCATCTAAACTTTAAAATTCTTAACAGCTGACAGCATGGCCTGGACATAGTAGATATTTACAATTAATTTTAGGTATTGGAGATACTTTGCTTCTAAGAATACTTTAAAAGGTCAGGACCATTTTAATCCAGATATAGCTCCTCTTGAAATAATTGATTCCTTTAAAAAAAAAAAAGAAAGAAAATTTAAATTTGTATAGCTACATAACTGATACAAATATTATATGCTAATTTTTTTTTTTTTTCCTTGAGACAGAGTCTCACTTTGTCACCCAGGCTGGAGTGCAGTAGCACGATCTCAGCTCACTGCAACTTCTGCCTCCCCAACTTAGGCGATTCTTGCACCTTAGCCCACCAAGTAGCTGGAATTAAAGGTGTGCACCACCAAGCCAGCTGATTTTTTTATATTTCTCGTAGAGACAGGGTTTCACCATGTTGCCCAGGCTGGTCTCGAACTCTGGGTTCAAGTGACCCTCCCACTTCAGTCTCCCAAAGTGCTGGGATTACAGGTGTGAGTTACAGCGCCCAGTCCACATGCTAATGCTTAAAGCAGTTATTGTTTGGGTTAGTCCCAAGGTGGCTTTGGAAACCACAACAGTATACAGAATTGTGAGATATTTAATATGTTTTCTAAAATCATAAAATGACAAAAGTCCACATTATTAAATTTATAATGTACATTGTATTGTATCAAGGAGAAGCCTTCCTGCTCATTTGATATCCACTGAATCTGACAGGTTTAGTAAATGAATGAATGACTGACTAGTGGCATTACTACATACATGTTCAAAACCTTGTATCGACCTCACTGTAAATATTTCTTCCTATTTATAAAGAGCTCTTAACGACAGATCCTTTCATATACAAAGTATGACTATATGTCTAGTACGAAATTGTAAGAGGAGATTTTCAGATTACCCACAGTTACAATTATGAATATCAAAAAGGAATGTTACCATTTAAAATTTTTAAAAATTTTTAAGAAATTGAATTTTTAGGAAACATTGTTTTATTTCAAAATTTAAAATCAGCTTTGTCATATTTAATTATGGTTTTTGAGTTATACAGTTTTTGAGCATTGTAAATATAGACCCAGCAAAAGAAAAAGAAAAAAATAGGAAAATATTTACATGTTAAACTACAGTGAATTAAGTTAATGTATAAGGCCAATAGAGTAATTGTTACTTCTGCCAGATGGCATTTTACATTTTGATAAAAAGATACATTCTTAATCATATATGTCAAGGAAAAGCGACCATATGTTGTTAAACACTTCCAATTTGTCATTTAATTGAAAAGGCACTACTGATATTGCCATAAATTTTTTTTGGTGATGTAGTCTATCCTTGGTGTCAATAAAATGTAATCTTTTCAGGTAATTTCCTTAGTTATCTTTGACTGTTTGATCTAATAATTCAGTGAAGAATTGTCTTAGCATCTGCAAAGAAAGAACACCATACAGTGAATAAATCAGAATCCAGAGTATATATTCAAGTTACTACTAGACGAGAAGCATAACCTCTGTTTTTAAGAAGCTCTAGAATTTAATTTACTATATTCTAGTAAAGTGGATAAAATATATCGAGTAAATCAAATGATTACAAATTGATTTTCCTTAAAGTTCAGAAACTGGTATATTATTTTTGTTTTGTTTTGTTTTTGAGACAGAGTCTTGCTCTGTTGCCCAGGCTGGAGTGTGGTAGCACGATCTCCGGCTCTCTGTAACCTCCACCTCCTTAGTTCAAATGATTCTTCTCCCTCAGCCTCCCTAGTAGCTGGGGTTGCAGGTGCATGCCACCACGCCCAGCTAATTTTTGTGTTTTTAGTAGAGATGGGGTTTCACCCTATTAGCCAATTTGGTCTTGAACTCCTGACCTCAAGTGATCCACCCACCTCGACTGCCCAAAGTGCTAGGATTATAGGCATAAGCTACCTCACCTGGCCCAGTATATTCTTAAGATTAAAAAAAAAAAAAAAAAAGATGGTAACTATTTTAAAAAACAGTTTTCCTCTTTAAAAAAAAAAAAAAAAAGATGTTTAATAAAAAAAATTAAGGAAGACAGAAAATAGCATTCAATCTACAATAGAAAAAGGAAACTGATATTACATGATTATTAAAACAGATTTTATGTGCCTTTATTTCTTCTACTCTACTTTTTTTGATAAGGATATCTTGGCTGGGTGTGGTGGCTGATGCCTGTAATCCCAGCACTTTGGGAGGCTGAGGCAGGCAGATCATAAGGTCAAGAGATCGAGACCATCCTGGCTAACATGGTGAAATGCCATCTCTGTAAAAAATAAAATCCAGTCTAGTGCCTTTGGTGATTTTAAAAAAAGAGAGAGAGAGAGGGATATCCCAGCCCCTCTTCCTCTGTCACCCTTCACCCATTTCTCTTCTCATGCTACAGGGCTCCATAGATTATTTCTTTCAGGCTTAAAATCTGAATTACGAACTACATGCTGAAGACTTGCAAATTTATATTGTCTGTGCATCTCTCTTCTCCAGACTTTTCACTGTTATATGGCTGTCACTATCTGTTCTCTAGTTGATGGACATTTGGGTTGTTTCCAATTTTTTGCTATTTATGAACAATGCTACTGTGAATATTTTATGTGTCTCCTAGTGTATCCGATCAAGAGATTCTCAAGTAAAAGATCTAGAAGTAAAATTGCTAGATTCCTTATAAGACATACATGTCAATTTTACTAGATCGTACCAAATTGTATTCCAACATGATGTTAAAAATATCTCATTACTCTGTGACATCACTAACAATGTTGTTAGACTTATTTTTGACAATCTAATGAAAATAGTTATATATTATTTGTTTTAATTTATCTGTTTCTAATTACTAATAAGATTGAATGTGTTTCATAGTTGTTGGCCATTTATATTTTTTCTTTTCTGAAATTCCAATTCATGACTTGGGCACATTTTTCCTCTAGAGTTATCCATCCTTTTTTGCATACTTTCAAACTCTTCATTCACACTTCAGTAAAATGAAACTCAATGAGGATATGTTACATGGGAAAGGTAATGTAGTTAGCAGAACTCAAAATTCATAGTAACCAGCATGTGGGATTGGGAAAGAAAGCAATTTATATGCAACCAATGTCATTTCCTTCTATGTTATTTTTTTTTTTTCTAAAATAAACACAAGTGAAATACTAGATTTCAGTGACACTTAAGATTGTGTTGCCAGGCATGGTGGGTCACGCCTGTAATGCCAGCACAGGAGACCAAGGTGGGCAGATCGCTTGAACCACGCCTGGCCAAGATATCCTTCTCAAAAAAATAGAGTAGGCTAGCCCAGGCAACATGGCGAAACCCTGTATCTACAAAAACAAAACAAACAAAAACAAAAACAAAAATTAGCCAGGTGTGGTGGCACATGCCTGTAGTCCTAGCTACTTGGGGGCTTGAGGCAGGAGGATCACCTGAGCCTAGGGAGGTTGAAGCTGCAGTGAGCCATCATAGAGTCACTGTACTCCAGCCTGGGTGACAAAGTAAGATCCTGTCTTTAAAAAACAAAACAAAAACAAAAAAACAAACAAAAACATCGTATTTTACACTTCAGGTTGCATATGATCGCCTCCTTTCTGAGCCAGACGGACATATGGGCTTTGCAGGCCAATGAGATTGGAATGCTGTTCCGAGGATGCTACCCTCACAGTGAGTATTGAGAAGTCACAGGTCCATTAATTAAATTGGCAAATAAGTAAGGAAATTCCAAACAAACTTTCCACCAATCTTGGAAACTCAAATCTGGGGGAATGGAGTGTGAAACTGTCTAGTGTAATAAAGATGCCCATGTGAGTCTGATTTTTCCATTACTTTGGATGTATCTACTCACTGTCTAAAGTGACTGAGACACAAAACCAAAATAAAGTGAATTTCTTATTGTTTGTCATGAGTACCATACACAAGATAATTTCAGACAGGTCATGAATATTTTCTGTATTAATGAGAATATACTTATTTTGATGTATAATAGAAAAATAGAACATGTCAGATCTGTGATACATCTTTCTTAAATTTTTGAAAGAGGGTTTCACTCTGTCATACAGGATGTAGTGCAGTGGGCAGTCATGACTCACTGCAGCCTTGACCTCCTGGACTCAAGTGGTCTTCCCACTTCAGCCTCCCAAAGAGCTGAGACTACAGGTGTGAGGCACCATAACTGGCTTCTTATAAAATTTTGTATCCAACTTTTATCACCACACTTTGTGACAAAGAAAATGCCACAGTAATAATTGTTTTAGTGATAGAACACATGACTAAAGATGAGAATAATTTGGGTTTTTTTTTTTTTTTTTTTTTTTTTTGAGACGGAGTTTCACTCTTGTTACCCAGGCTGGAGTGCAATGGCGTGATCTCGGCTCACCGCAACCTCCACCTCCTGGGTTCTGGCAATTCTCCTGCCTCAGCCTCCGGAGTAGCTGGGATTACAGGCACACGCCACCATGCCCAGCTAATTTTTTGCACCTTTAGTAGAGACGGGGTTTCACCATGTTGACCAGGATGGTCTCGATCTCTTGACCTCGTGATCCACCCGCCTCGGCCTCCCAAAGTGCTGGGATTACAGGCTTGAGCCACCGCGCCCGGCCAGTTTGGGGTTTTTAACCTAGAAAATAAAACTAAGGGATGAATTCAAATGAATGCTAAATTATTTCAAGAAAAATGCTGAATGTCCTCTATTCCATAGAAGACACAGAATGATAATTATGAAGAGCTATATTAATTATAAATAAAGAAGGTTTTATCAACTGTAAGGATAGAATAAAGTATTTCAGGGCTGGGAACAGTGGCACATGCCTCTAATCCCAGCACTTTGAGAGGCCTAGGTGGGTCAGTCAGTTGAGTTCAGGAGTTGAGGCCAGCCTGGGCAACATGGTGAAACCCTGTCCCTACAAAAAAATGTGATAATTAGCCAGGCATGGTTGTGCATGCCTGTAGTTCCAGGTACTTGGGAGGCTGAGGCGGGAGGATGACTTGAGACTGGGAGATTGAGGCTGCATTGGGCCATGATCATGCCACTGCTCTCCAGCGTGAGCAACAGAGTGAGGCGTGTCTCATAAATAAATAAATAAAATATTTTGGTTCTTAAGAGCTTTGAAAAAAGATGAATGGGGAGGTGCCCAATTTTTGAATAATAATAATGTCCTATTCATTACTCAAGAAGTTTTATAGATGAAAGAAGCTGAAGTACCTCCCCTAAAATTATTGGGATGTAGGTCAGTCAAAGAAAGTAGAAGAACCCAGTATCTTTGGACTATGATTTTTTTTTTTTTAATGTTGACATGGGGGACTCGCTCTATTACCCTTCTGGCCTCCAACACTTGGTATCAGCCAGGCATAGTGACTCACACCTGTAATCACAGCACTTTGGGAGACCAAGGCAGGCAGATCATGAGGTCAGGAGTTCCAGACCAGCCTGGCCAATATAGTGAAACCCCATCTCTATTAAAAATCCAAAAAATTAGCTGGGTGTAATGGCGCACACCTGTAGTCCTAGCTGCTCGGGAGGCTGAAGCAGGAGAATCACTTGAACCTGGGAGGCAGAGGTTGCAGTGAATCAAGATTGTGCCACTGCACCCTAGCCTGGTCGGCAGTGCAAGACTCCGTTTCAAGAAAAAAAAAAAAATGCACTTGGTCTCAAGTGACCCTCCCGACTCAGCCTCCCAAGTAGCTGGGATTACAGACATGCACCACCATGAGAACTTTTTTAAAAAAATAATTTTTTTTTTAAATTTTTACTTTAAGTTCTGGGATACATGTGCTGAATGTGCAGGTTTGTTACATAGGTATACATCATCACTGGTCATTGGAGAAATGCAAATCAAAACCGTAACACCGGTTAGGATGGCAATCACTAAAAAGTCAAGAAACAGCAGATGCTGGAGAGAATGTGAAGAAATAGGAATGCTTTTACACGCTTGGTGGGAGTGTCAATTAGTTCAGCCATTGTGGAAGACTGTGGTGATTCCTGAAGGGTCTAGAACCAGAAATACCATTTGACCCAGCAATCCCTTACTGGGAATATACCCGAAGGATTATAAATCATTCTACTGTAAAGACACATACACACGTATATTTATTGCAGCAATATTGTCAATAGCAAAGACTTGGAACCAACCCAACATCAATGATAGACTGAATAAAGAAAATGTGGAGCCGGGCGCGGTGGCTCAAGCCTGTAATCCCAGCACTTTGGGAGGCCGAGGCGGGTGGATCATGAGGTCAAGAATGGGAGGCCGAGGCGGGTGGATCACGAGGTCAAGAGATCGAGACCATCCTGGTCAACATGGTGAAACCCCATCTCTACTAAAAATACAAAAAATAAGCTGGGCATGGTGATGCGTGCCTGTAATCCCAGTTACTCAGGAGGCTGAGGCAGGAGAATTGCTTGAACCCAGGAGGCGGAGGTTGCAGTGAGCCGAGATCGCGCCATTGCACTCCAGCCTGGGTAACAAGAGTGAAACTCCATCTCATAAAAAATAAATAAAAAATAAAAAATAAAAATAAAAAAAATAAAAATAAAAAAAGAAAATGTGGCACATATACACCATGGAGACCTTTTTTTGAACTAACATCAGTGATCACTTGGAGACACTGTTTATGTGACTTATTGCTTAAGACAATTAGCTACATCAAATCCCTGCCACAGGACTCTTAACGAACTGGTTTTTATTCCAGGATTCAGATAAGTGTGGTATTGTCACTTGGTTTTTGTTTCAATCTGCCCAATTGCTGTTTGCATGAAATTTTACATTCTTCTTAAGCAGGCATCCCCAAACTACGGCCCAGCATGCGGCCCCCTGAGGCCATTTATCCGGCCGCTGCCGCACTTCAGGAAGGGGCACCTCTTTCATTGGTGGTCAGTGAGAGGAGCACAGTATGTGGCAGCCCTCCAACGGTCTGAGGGACAGTGAACTGGCCCCCTGTGTAAAAAGTTTGGGGACGCCTGTTCTTAAGAATTGGAGTAAAAATATTTTTCTTAACTTCGTAAAATCCTCAAACTGGGTCCTATTTGAGTGTTGAAGGTGGGAGGAGGGTAAAGATTGAAAAACTACCTGTTATATTGATAATCTGGGTGACAAAATTATCAGTACACTCTCAACACCCAGTTTACCCATGTAACAAACTTGCACATGTAGTCCTTGAACCTAAAATAAAAATTGGAAAATAAATAATTTACAAAACTAAAAATAAATAAAACACTTTAAAGCCTGAAACCCAAAAATTAATAAATAAAATCTTCAAACTGGATTTTTACTCTGCACTGGATTTTTACTGGATAGTTTACTGTTAAAAATACTTGAAGTTTACTTTTCAGTATATTTAAAGAGTAAAATGTTTGTGACTTATTGGTTAGGACTTACATAAAGCTTCTAAACTTTTTATAAAATGAAGTTGATCCACTCACAAACATGAAGATTAAACAGAAATTTGTTAGGTACCAGAGAATATTGCTCTAGTTAAACTTCAAAAGCTTTCTTAGCCCCTAATGAGGTAGTTTGAACAAGATCATCTTTGTTGGATGATATTAATTGGGTCTATAACGAGTTCTATTTCTAGAGTATAACTATTTTTATAATGAACATAATTTGTAGACTAGTTCACTATAAACCGTTTCTAATCTTTTTATTAGTTTTCTGAGCACTTTCAGATTTCTTTATGTAATTATGGTGAATGTAATAAATTAAGCAGTAATCTTAATGCTTTAAGATGTTAGTGTAAAACAGTCATTTCCTAACAGTTGGGTGAAAATGAACTAATTCATGGAGACAATTTGATATTTGTTCACAAAATGACAAGAATTTTTTACAGATAAACTTTTGCTTTTAAAATCTCAGCTGTTGAATGAAAAGGCACAAAAGTGGTAATTCTGAGACTACAAAAAACTTGATTAATAAGTAAAGGGAAGATTATCTTTTCTTAATGAGAGATAACTTTATTTTGTGCTTCAAAACATAATTGGGCTGGACATTGTGGTTCACACCTGTAATCTCAGTGCTTTTTGGAGGCCAGGGTGGGCGGATCACTTAAGGTCAGGAGTTTCGAGACCATCCTGGCCAATATGGCGAAACCCCATTTCTACTGAAAATACAAAAATTAGCTGGGCATGGTGGCACATGCCTGTAATCCCAGCTACTCAAGAGGCTGAGGCAGGAGAATAGCTTAAACCCAGGAGATGGAGGTTACAGTGAGTCGAGATGGCACCACTGTACTCCAGCCTAAGCAATAAGACTTCATCTCAAAAAAAAAAAAAAAATTGGGCCATTAATGCTTATACAAGAACAGTTGAGCTATTAATTGTTCTGACTGAAAAATAGTTAAATATAATACATCAAATCTTATATATGCATTTATTTTTTTTTCATAAAGTAACTTTAATGAGACTAGAATGCAAAAAGGCTTGCTTGAGTTATGATATACTAACTGTGGTATCTCTGCTCTGGAATCGCTTCAAAGGTGATACTTTATAATAAAATGCTTTGGAAATTTGGATGACATCAGTGCATTATGCCAGATTTCACTAGTATGTTAAATGTTTCTAGTGAATTTGGAAATGTAGGAGGAATTTAAAAATAACTTTAGGCTGGGCACAGTGGCTTATGCCTGTAATCCCAGCACTTTGGGAGGCCAAGGCAGGTGGATCACCTGACATC